CCCCCCCCCCATTGGATGGGGAAAAGCTACCTTATTTGTAAAATACGACCTGTGCGACTTGCGACGTGAAAAAAGCGATTTGATTTTGTTGCAATCGAAACTAATTGAATTCCGTCAAATAGTGCCAAGTGTTTGCTTTTGCCCCTCCCTGGAGAACAATCTAGCATGCGTGGGTTTTTAGGCGGGTGCTCTGGTGCGGTTTGTTCCTTCTTTCCTATCAAACATCTATCGTCCTAATTGCTCCTTCTTTTTGTGTTTGTTACTCTTTTGTAACACCTCTAATCTTCGGCACTTATGTGACCTTATTGTGCTGCAAGTCCCCCTAAAACACTTACTAAAACTAATCTAGCTTGCCGCGACTCAGTCAAATGAATTCCATTGGCACAATGCAATCGGTACAGCTGTCAGATCTCTTCACCCAGGTTGCTGTGATTTTATCACGCGGAGACGGGAGCAACGTAACAGTTCTCTTGGATGATCTCTCTCTGAACTTTCAACCCTGTGAAGATAGTAAGTAAATACATTATGTGTTCTCTTCAGAAATCGACGTCCCCCCCTCTCTCTCTCTCCCCCTCCCCCTTCTCTCTCTCTCTCTCTCTCCCTCTCTCTCTCTCTCTCTCTCTCTCTCTCTCTCTCTCTCTCTCTCTCTCTCTCTCTCTCTCTCTGTATTTGAGCGTTTTGTTGTTGTTATTGTTGTTTTCTTTGAGTTTTTTTACTGTGTTGTCTTGCACGCAACTTGAGTTTGCGATTTTTAAAAAAAAATTGCGAGTTCAGGTCGTTTACAAAATTTCTGAGAATATAGTGTAGAGCAATTTGTCACAATTCTGAAAAAATATTTTCTACCCTACTGCATAGGAACCCATGACACTGGGCCACTCAAATCTTGATTTCAAAACATTTGTGAGGTAGCGTGGTGGAATCAGGCTCTCATCAAAATAATCAAAGTGAAGAAACTTGCATTTTTCCGCAGGGTTGTGAATTTTTAATCAAATTTTTGTTTTTTGGCTCAACACCTTTCATGCTCATTAAAGAACTCATTTCAGTGTGGATTTTTCTTAAAATGGTTGATTAAAGGCACAAAAATTGTAAATTTTCAGTTACCACGGACTCTTAAGCTAAGTAAATAACCAACCTTTGGCGGCCATTTTCTCACTAATTTTACCTCTGAAAACAGGTGACCCCACCTCCTTCATTTGTAAATATGTCGATTTGTACTCAAGATAAATGGATATTTTTTTCAATGAAATAAAGACAAATAAACAAGCTTTATGATGATACCAATAACTCTACATGCCCAAAAATTGACGAGAGCCTGATTCCCCCACGCTGCCTCACAATTGTAAAACGTGGGGAAAAGGGCGGAAGAAAATCTCAGTTGTACAGAAACTGGGACATTGAGTGAGCTATACAAAAACTGGGACATTGAGTGAGCTATACAAAAACTGGGACATTGAGTGAGCTATACAAAAACTGGGACATTGAGTGA